CCTCGCATTCCCTTTCGCTCTCTACTTGTCGCTTCAGCAGAGCCAGTACATCTGGCCGGACCCTTTCGCTGACGAAGCATACCCATGCTCCGTTTCACCACCTGACTGATCCTGTGGACAGTCCCCTTGCCCTTACCGTCTGGACGGTAACCTATGATACGATGCATGATGCATCCCCTTTGCCCTGATTACCTTTCTTGATCTCTGACTCGGTGCGCAGTCGCACATGCGACTTATACTTAGATCCGCAGCTGCACGATCGTGCCCCTGCATGTTTCACTTCTTATTCCGATCTTTGACTCACTATTCTTATCTGCACGTTCAGAGCTCGCCCGTGTCTTGCCTCGAACGTGCCTTCCTTTTATGGTCATACCCTTTCCTGTTTACTTCTCTTGGTAGTACGAGTTATCATCCACTAATACGCTTCCTGTCCTCTATATAAACTCGCTACCATGTAACCTATTCCTTAACTTGAATCTACTTGGTTCTTGACCTCCTACTCTCACCAGAGTGATCCTTCTGCCTCGCCAGCAGTCTATATTCTATCTTCTTATCTGCTCTTCACGGATAAGCCTATAGTCTCGACCTTTACTCATCGACTTCATCGACGAGCAAAGCCCCTGTTAACTAGTTGGACTTCTGTCCTTCTAATTAACGACGATCCTTACGATTAACCTTTGGGTGTCGTAAGCCTAGGCCGATATAGCTTATCGTCTCGCACCCGCATGACATAAGCTACCCGATTTGGACATAGGCATTAAATCGTACTTGCCGAAGACACACCAAGTACGACCCCTAACCTTGGGCTAGCCCAAGGACGTCCTCGACCATTGACGACACACGCTCTGTTTGAGCGTCGCCAACAGATACCATCCAAGTCGTAACAGATGGTACAGTGCACTCTCAAAATAAGTGCGAGAATATGACAAGGTGACGGCGTCGATACGAATGCTAAAGCTTATGCCATCAAAGAGAATGGATACAGCATGTGCGCAAGTGCTGCATTGAACACAAGACCTGCTGTGAAAGTCAAGAGAGAACTCTAACCAGGCACAGAAAGCAGAACTCGTGCCAAAAATGTCGGGATGGTACTCCGGATAGTATAATGGGTCATAAAACATAGGATATGTGGTCACTGCGTGTAATTCATTATGGAGGGGGCAATCATCCAAATTGAGTATGCAAGGTCACGTGCTGGCAAGTTTGTTGATAAACATCTCGCCAGACTGTAATGCCAAACATTGAGAAGTGAATGAAAGTGAGAAATGGAACCACATACCAATGCAGCCAGAGGAGGCAGGCAAGAGAAGCACGGCAGATGGAAGACAACGAGAGGGAAATTGGAAGGCAAAGGAGGATTAATTGAGGACCGAGCATCGCTCTTCAAGTTATATGACAGATCGGCCTAGAAATGGATCTGAGACGAATGCAGTGGCAGTGTTTGAAATTTGACAGTTCAGTACAAGGGGATTGCTTACGTCACCAACAATGTTTGAAGACTCGACCTGTTATGAGAATTATCGACCTGGGACAACATTTCAATCAGTTTCTCAAGTCTGCTCACAAGCCATTAGGACCAAGCTGAAGACAACATCAAATGAGTTAAAGAGCCAGCCACCAAAATTACTCAAAAAATAGCTTATTGCAGTGAGATGCAGTGAGAACGACTGGAAAGCGATAGAGGAAATATGTTCCTGTGGTTGCAGATTTTCTGGTAGGTGCGTCGACTGACCTCAACGGCTTGGTAAACAAAGTGTTAAGTAGTGATTGGTGGCACGAGCATATCTCAGAGTACAGTAGTGGGACGGTTCTTGACATCAAGTTAGAAAAAAAGACAAGATAAAGAATGTTGGACCCTTGCATCAGCAGCCAACAATTCTGCAAGAGCGACACCTTCTACACATACAGTATGAATTGAAGGGTCATGAGCGATAGAATGAATAACACCTGTGAAAATCAGAAACATGGACCAGGACTATGGTTACGACTTACTTGCAAGCGAAGCAGGTTGAGAAAAAATTTCTCGGGTAACCACCAAGACGCTCATGGCAGGCTCAGAAGAGATTGTGATTCTCGTATATGGGCACTTGGTACCACATGGAACTCAGGGTAGCTGCAACTAACACGATCAACTAGGGTATGCAAGAATGAGTAGGGTGACAGCGGATACAACAACTGGCATACTGAGAATGAAGGCGGCACAGCCATCAAAGATGTTCAACAAGGACTGCATGGCATCACACATAGTGTACAATTGTCTGGAAATTGGTTGTATGGGATCAGGTGAAAAGGTCGAGATGAAGTCACTAACCATCACTCACGCAAACACAGAGTCGTAGTCCTGATTAACCGAATTGCAAAATGTGGCAGTCCACTAGAGCAGCAGAGATCTTCGCAGGTAGGATCTAACAGTAATAATCAGCGATCACATGAGAGAATCACATGAATCTGCAGGACACATACGTGCATAGATGCCATTTAACGCAGGTGTTTCAGATGTGTTGCAAGTGAGATCGTGATTGACACATTGGACTGCTGACAGGAGTACGTGACGGTGGCCAGGATACTGGCAACTAGGATCCAGGTGTATTGCACAAAAGAATCAGATGTATAGAGCGTGCAGACAGGAACATTGATGTGATTGGAGCGACAGGACAACAGACTGAAACATGGGTAAGTTGACATCAATGTATAACACGACTGATCGAGTACAAAGCCCGAATCTCCTATTCCATGGCTTGAAATGAATTTTGAGTTCGGACAAAACCCTTCTTGTCCAGAAGATCGGACATTCAGTCGGTCTCGCTGTCGATCAGTGTACTTTGTTCGAATGAGAATGATCACAACCTACCATTCTTTCCTCCTCTTCATGTCTGCTGCAGTGTTAGACCTCATCAACTTATATGACGGCGAGGGTGCTGTGATCTTTAGTATGTATCTGCACTCTGTCCTGACTTACAATTGACAAGCTTGATACAGTAGAACATCAGAATCGTGGCAAACCATCTTTTGACATGAAGAGCAGCGCTGTTGTGAAGGCTTTGGCTGGAGGCAAGATGACAGGACATTCGTCTGTTTTGGTAGCAGTCAACAATCTCTACCACAATCCGCTGATGCTGGCAAGTATGTGTGTGAGGACATATGGTCGTGCAGCAGGTTAATCCACTCACTGCAGGCATGGTCAGGTCGATGGCCCAAGATCTCAGTGGATTGTGTATATGCGGAATCGGTTGAGCTGGCCAACTTCCTGGTGGCTGAAGCTAGGAAGCAAGAGGGTGCTGTGTATGCATCTGCTGAAGGGCTGACGATCAAAGATATATTACGGCACAATTCGGTGTAGTCAGGTGAACGTGCCTTGGAACAAACCAATAACAGGCAAGCATGAGTTGAAGTAGGCTAAGGTGATAGATGAGGCAAAACATTGTGCATGCTTTCTGAAGACAAAGTATTCCTGTTAGAGCAGTGCATTACATTATGGCATGTTAGCATAGAAATGAACAGCAGCCTTAGGGTACTAGGTGTTGGCGCTAAAAACTGATGAACTTGCAGTGTTTCAAGAGACTACTTGATACGGGTTTGAATCATAGTATCATAATTCAACACTGACCTCTATACTTGCGGTCTGTAAAGTCAAACAATGTTCACGATTCAAATGTACAACCACATGCGTGTTTCTTCATTGCAGAACACACCGGCCAGGAACAGGCCATTTGGCATGCTGCGCGGGAACAGTGCACCCCAAAAGGGCCAGAATGAGTACTTTGCGATGCGGTGCACGACCTGAATAAAGAACAGGATGACATTGGCCATTCAAAATTTAAAGGCAAGGAAGGTAGTGATGTGTGGGAAGAACGAAATAGGAAAGGGATTGAGCCGGCGGAGTAAAAGAGGAATTAAGTTCACGCGCTTGCAGATTTTCTTGTAGGTGCCTGGACATTTTCATCTGACATAACCCTCTCTCTACTTCGTAGAGTCGGGGAGGGGTCATTGCAACTGCTTTCGCAAATTTCCGACATTGCCAGGACCGAAAAACCCGTGTGTGACCAAGACTGACTTGTCCAGGATTGCCCAGTTGGGAAACAATGTGAATTCTCTTCGGATCGCCCCAAAGCGGTAGTGGCTGAGTACTACCGCCCAAAACATTACTCGATTAGGGAGTCTCATAATATCAATGTTTGCCAGCCTCCCTAAGCCTTCCCCTCCCTCCTGTGTAATAGGCTTGTATATATAATATGTATTAGCCATTATATACCTAATATAATATACTTAACCACTTTCATTTGCTACCGGCTACCATTGGGCAATCAGTTCTATCAAAACAATATAATTTGCATTTTTACATTGTTGCAGTAGGAGATATATCAATCGACGTTTTGGGGTGCTGGTTTGAAAGGCTGACCTTCTCAAACAGTGAATGGCGATTGCTGAGTATTGAATGTTAAATGTTAAACCCTCGTAATCGTCGAAGCCTTGGTAAGGCTCTTACATGTTCCCAGGTGTGGCAGCGACTTGCCCTTGCCCCATGCTCACTGGCATGGATAATCATCACATATTCAAGCTCTGCAGCTCCAGCATGAAATGATTGTCCTTGAACTATCGTGTGGTTGAGGAATGAAGCATGTGGTTCGGAGGAAGGCACGGCATACGCGGTGGCACTGGCTTCAGAAGAGAAAGATTTCGTGCTGGCCGCTGCAAGCTTGCAGGCAGCGGAAGAATCTTTGGTAAAGAGTCGTAATAATCGAAAATCAAAGAAAGAATGATGCGCGTCGGATATCATGTAAATAAAGCAAAATAACGCGTCCTTGCACCTGAACATTAATCATGTCTCTCGACGACATCTGGGACGCACCAATTTCCCCCGCTCACGCTACTACGCCACACTCTGATACAGTTAGCTCTCAGAAGCGTCCAAGACAGACCCTATTTCTTTCTGACTCAGACAACGAGGATGACCAACCAGCGCCGAAGAGACCTACTAGCTCGATACCAAGACCAGACGTAGACGCGCTCTTTGCTGACATCGATAATGATGACGTAGGGGAGGATGATGACCTGAGATATAAACCCCTTGCACCTGCCCTTGACCTCGAGGCACTCCGCAAACAGGCCGAGGCAAAACACGCGTTGACACCCCATCAAATCTTGCCTAGTAGTTCTCCACCAAGAGATCTAGGTCCTGACGAAGACGATAAAGGGGAAAAGGATGACAAGGGAAAGGAGAACGAAGGAAAAAAAGAGAGAAAGAAAGTTGCATTACTCGATGAAACAAGTTTAATTGGAGCATCGGGGTTTCCACAGCTCATTCAGAATATTAAGGACTTCAAGGTTAAAGGGAAAGGTCATGAGGTGAGTTACACTGACTTCGGACTTGTGCGCTGATGCAGATGCCTGGATATCTGTTTAGCATTCAGACCTCCAACGCATTCTCCAAGTATACCAGTTTTGGTCTCATAGATTATATCCCAAAACTCCGTTCAAGGACACCATTGAGCGTGTTGAAAAATTATGCCACTCAAAACGAATGCAGGTACGAGCGAATATCGATCACGTTCGCATATCACAATCACACATGAATGAAGGTCCGATTAAGCGTATGGCGTGATGAGGCGAAAGGCCTTGTCAATGGCAAGGAGCTAGGAGAAAACGGTAGCGACAACGTTATCGACCTCACCGATCCAAATTTTGAGGGCGCAGACGTGAATGACGATTCGTCTTCTTTACATGCCCCGTCTCTTCCACCCTCATCGTCAGAGGCTGAAGACGATGACTTTGATATCGATGCTGTCGTTAGAGAGGAGGAGAAACGCCTTGCTGCGTTCAGAGTACAACGGTCTGTTTCCCCGGCACCTCCCGCATCAAAAGCCAAATACAAAGTTTTGCCACCCGAAGTTGTAGATGGGATGGACATCGACGAAGAGGCGATGTGGAATGACCTCGAGATATTTGATGACACAATCCCTACCCCTGCTCCGCCTCCGACTAGTAAACCAAGCCTCTTAGTCGATGACCAGGGCGAGGAAATGTGGGATATGGTGCGAGAATTGGAGAGAGAAGAGTATACGGCATCGAAACAACTTCCTGTGTCATCCGTGTTGAGCACGCCTTTGGAAAAGAACGCTAACATGTCCCTCGGGACAAATGACCAAGACTTTGATGATATATATGCTGCATAGATTCGGATGGTGCGTACACATGAGCGAATGCCATATTTATAATATTTTTATCGTTGAATATAACGAACTTCTTCGTTCATCACGTTCGTCTTCCGATTCCAGCCAATGTGGACATACTCCTCGAACATCAGCTGGAATCACGTGACCTAATCATTGATAATCAGATCTAGGATGCCGCATCATGAATCATGATCAGTGATCACAATGTCTTTGACCAACCCAGTTCCAGATCTTGAAGCAGGTATCCAATACTGGGCCACTCAGCCTGCAAACTACGACGGCGTGCTCGGTCTGCTTCATTGCTAACCACTTTACCATCGAACATCGGCTAACATCACATCCAGGTGGATTCGGAACGGGGGTGACTGAGATCTCACTCCTCGCCGACAAACATTTGTACTGAATTATTGATGACAGTCACTTCCTCGTGTCGATTCTCTTGGATCACGTCGCTTCCTCCTTGATCTACTCCCTGAACTATCCACAGTCCCATCACCGTTCCAGAGTCTCTCCGGCCCGCCGTCCAAAACCCAGCGTGTGAGAGCTCTTGATGTCGGCGCAGGTGTCGGGCGCGTCACATCAGACGTTCTCCTTCATCTCGTTTCAGATGTTGTCTTGCTCGAGCCTGTAGAGCCTTTCATCAACGAAGCCCGATCCCGTGGAAAAGCCAGCGAATCCGGTTCAGAAATTAACGACAGCGGGTATAGGGTTTTATGGAAGGGTATCGCTGATCGATCGAAGAGCGTCACGTTCTTCAAAGGTGCCTTGCAATCTTTTGATCCGATCGCACCAGGGACACCTCTGGATCGTGTCGGTTATCTACCGCAAGATGGTGATGATGAAACGGAAACAGGATTCGATGTGATATGGTGCCAATGGTGTCTCGGTCACTTGAAAGATGATGACCTTGCGCAGTTCCTGCAGAGGAGCAAGAAGGCTCTACGTGATACGAGAAGTCTCATCGTAGTGAAGGAGAATATATGCGGCGAGCAAAATGAGCCGCTAACCGTTTTTGATGAGCAAGATTCTACTTTCCACTCGGTTTGTAAGAAGCGATTTTGTATTACAAAGTCTTGACTTGCTTTGTAGGTCAGACCTCGCATTCAAAATATTTTCCGGATGCTGGTCTCAAATCATCCAAGAGAAATTCAACACGGGCTTCCCCAAGGCTGTATCCTGTAAAAAATGTACGTTTTCCCTGGCTGAACTCTTATCCTGTGCTTACTTGCTTCAGGTACGCACTAAGGGAGGCATGAGATGTTCTTCAAAAGTTTATTATCGTTGTCAGCGATGCATGTAGGCGTGATATGTGATTGCGTCCGTAGGGCAGGAGTATGCACCATCGAGCCAACACAAAGACATGAGACATCTGACATCATCTGAGCTTCTATTCCAACGTCATTGTCTGTACAAACAGCTATCATTGTTGGCGCTGTACGAGTTTGACGTCGTCGATGTGCCTGAGAAGGCTGCGAACAGAGGTTTGATATGACGAGGCCATAGATTTATTCCCCAAACTGGATAGCGCCAGTCATGCCAACAACCCCTTCATCGTTTTCGCACCACAATTCTGCTTTGTCCTTTGCCACAATGGCACCATGTATCGTCGCGGCACGATTCACAAGAATTGGGTTGTGCGCGCGATAGCTGAAGGTGCGCAGTTTGGCCCCTGGGCGGTGGTAAATGAGACACTCTAGAAGCATAAGGGCTGTCAGGGGCCCGTGAACAAGTCTTTCTAGGGATAGAATTTACTTGATATTATCTGAGAAGTAAAGCTTGGACTCACCTGGATATCCTTCAACTTTCTGCGCGTAATCCTTGTCCAAATGTATGTGATGTCCGTTGAATGTAAGAGCAGAAAAACGGAATAACGTCGTCAATGTCGGAGTGTACGACAACGAAAACTCAGACTTTGGGAGATCGTTCACTGATTAGAGGTGTCGGCATCAGCACCCAGGTAAACCATTGGTTGATATGAGGACTCGCCTTGACGGGGTATGCGGCTCCCTACACTAGCTACAGGTGGCTGATAGACATGTGCTCGTTCCTCCACTATCCCAGGTTCACTTCGTCCTTCCACGGTCAGTTCAATTCTCTGTTTCACAAATATCATCGGCTTCCCGCCATCAAATCCTTTCTTCTCGACCTTGGCTACAGTAGACACGGCAGTGGCCTTCTCTCCTACTTTCAATTCTCTTTCCTTGTTCCATATCATGGTGCCACCCGCCCACATCCGGCGTGTGAATGGTTTAGGCGGACAGAAGTCAGCGTCGGTCCCATCTTTGCGCAGTAGTGCCTCTGGATTACGTGGATGGAAGAAGGCAAGATGGTGTCCGTATCCGAGAGGTGTACCTTCTACAGGGGATGTAAATGGGCGACCACGCGTGCCGTCGCGAGTAGGTAGAGTGATGTAGAGGTCTGAAAGGTGATTAGAATGAAAGGTATCAGTGAGGACAAGTGATTTGGGAGATGCTATCCATGCATCGAGAGCCTCCAGGTTGAAAGGGGATGTTGAAAGGAACCGACGAGCAGGTCGTGTCCAGGAGCACGTCATGTTAGGACAAGTCCATTAATTATTTTTTTCCAAAATAAGAATTATATTATGTTTCCCAGCTTAACAGACTATTCCGTCAACGCCTTTCCTCGTTGGTATAGTGCAAAACGGGAAAAACCGACCTCCGCCACAGCACCAACACAGATCCCTTTCTACATCGCCCCATTCCGTCCGATTTCCACCAAAACTAGTGGAAACACCTCTGTTCGAGCCTAGTGACAAACCTATCTGATTACTTTCTTGAAATTCTTAAATTTAAAAAAATGACGGTCTCAAATTAAGACTTCCCACGCCACCAGCACCGCCACCTTCCTTATTTGGTAGTCGCTCCTCCTCCCCATTGCTTGCAGCGAAGAAAAAACATGTTTGTGGCCTCTGCTGGACCGTTGTAAGTGTACGAAATACATGTACTTATTCAGCGTAGTTCAATGTATCCATTTCGGCCATGATTCCCGCACCAACTTTGCGATGCGAGCGGTATTTCTTCACAGCATATTCAGCTTGCTTAGCATCAAGACCCTTCCTGCACGAACGCGGGTGCTGAGAGACCGGAGGCGAACTATAGCATTGAAATGCTCACCCATAGGCGTCCATATAGCGCCATGTTTTGCGGTAAAGGCCCGGATAACTTTGGTAGGGCATGCACCCAGTATCTCAGGAACAAGTCTCCTCGCAGTTGGAAAAGTGCCATCTGCAAGCACTCGTAAGCCTGCCGGACTCGTCAGAATATCACTAGATGGCACAGGACTGTTCAACTCACGGATTTTGACCCATCCCCAATACATCTCAATTGGATTTAGCTCACAATGGAACTTCGGCAGAAAATAGCACTTGTGCCCAGCAGCCTCGATGACAAGCTGCAACTGAGGCTTCTCTGCAAGAAAATCGGCCTGGAGTGAGAGCACCTTGCGCATGCAGCATGTTGTCGACTCATTCGGACGAAGATTGTCTTCAGGAGCTGCATTTTCGTCCTCGGCATCATCAAATAGTGACTGCGCAGCAGCACTTCGAGCGAGCGCGTCATGGGCCTTTTGTGACATCTTGCATGATGCGCAGTCACCAATAAGGGCTTTCCCATTGTTTCCAGCACACAACCTGTCCCAAAGGCCGCGCTCTTCAAGCACGACCTTCATCCCTTTCGGTTGGTCACGGAATTCGTAGAATGGATGGTCGGATGGTAAATTCTCCGCAAAACACATATCCTGAGCCACTCCACGAAGAGCAGGGTTTGGATTGTCAGCAGGAATAGTGGTGGAATGCATGTGACGCTGCTTGCCACCAGGTTTGACGTTCATCTCGTTCGCATTTAATGTGTTCACCGTGAAAGCACCGTGAGCAGCAGATTGATCAAAGAAAAACTCAGCGACGGCATCGGGATAAGTCCACTCGAAGAGCGGAATAACTTGTTCAACCTAACATTAATTAGCACACATCATCGTGACAGTGTAATGCAAATATTGCTTCGTACCTGTTGAACAAGCATCTCAGCCGTCCACCAACCATCTGCATTCTTTCCTGGAAAAATTATCTTGCGAGAATCATAACATTTGAGGTGTTCGTTCACGGGCAATGTGGTGTCCTCGGCTATCTAAGTGACAACATTAGTCAAAGAACCACAAACGTGAGAGCTGGAAAAACCTGTTCTTCCGACAGACTCAATCGACCTGTCTCTTCTGTTATGAAGTCCGACACATGAATTGCTTTCCCTTGACCCTTCTTTCGCAGTGGCATTTTCCCCTCCTTTGTCCAAACCCTTTGCTGCAGTTCATTGGACCTGAATATACTCTCGTCATGATGCACCGGAACATGTTTTCGCTCACCAGGAAGCAAGGTTGGCTCTATGACGTCTAAGGTTTTGTCATCATACGTGTTCCGTAGGTGTTCGTTCTCAGCCACTTGGGCTAAAAATGCTTTTCGGTATTCCACGACATCAGCACGCTCGTGGCCATCAACATATATCCCCTTCTTTACACTGGTGAGCTCATAGCCTAATTTCTTCAACCAACGTCTCGCACAATTTTCGGAGATTGTGTTTTTCCCCAGGTTGAGACCCAGAGCAGGAATGATTGTTTCATTGACTTCGTGCTGAAGTTTGCGTGGCGTGATCTAGTAAGTAACATCAATTCTCTATCATTCTTTATGATTGGGTGCACTACTAACTTTTCCAGCCTCTTGTACAGTCAAGAAACGACGAACGGATTGGTGCACTCGCTCGTTATTCAACAGTGATGGGTGTGCATGGTGTTTTCCAGCTTGAGATGGTGGGAGGGTTCGGAATCTACAGATGTAGATGACAAGGCGACGAATCATGCGAGCAAGGTAAGGCCCCTTACCCACAGACTTTGCAATAGCAAGGCTGGCTCGTGTTGCAGGATTTTTGATGTTGGGGATTCGCCGATAGCGCTCGAGCAACTCCAGGTAATTTCTGACAGCATGGAGCTTGAATTGTGCACTGAAAGACTTGTGCTTCGTAGCATCTTTGATTAATCCTTCGATGACCTTGCCTATTGGAACATCGAGAGGATCCAGCTCATCGTCTGCAGTAGGATCGAGGAATGAGGCAGCCTCCGGCACTGGCTCTGTGTTATTGTTAGATGTAGTGGTGTCTGACAGCAGCTCAGGGGCTGTGTTGCAAGATTGTGTTGGTGGTGCGGGTGGCTCCAAGAGATTGACCCATTGGTCCGAGTTTTCCATGTCAGAAGGTGTGTCCGAGTCTGACTCAGAGGATATGCTATCTGACTGCCGAACCTCGATAATAGGCTGGGAAGTATGTGGTACTACCGAAGCGGAGGACCGAAAGTAATTGCTGAGTTTTGCTGTCCCAACTGCTGCTTTGCAAAGTTTGCTTTGCTTTCGGTAGAAACTGCTTCGGCTCGTACCAGTGTAGCTGCCCTTGGCTTTAAGAGGGGCAGCATCGAGATGGTTGACAGGTTTGGTAAATATTTTCTGCCAGAATTCTTCAGCAGCGGCTAGTATCTGGTGAGCTTCGAATTCTTCGGTACCCTCCTCATCAGATGCCTCGCAACTTTGGGTATCACCAGCAGCCTTTCGTTTCTTGCCACCATCACCATGATCCAAGTTGTCATTGACAATAGGATCCTCGAAGTCAGAGATGGCACCAAGGTCTGTGATGTCATGCTCTAGTAAGCTGACAATCCAGCCTTCACCATCCGCGTCTGAACCTGAATCTTCTTCGTTGATATAGTCCATGTCATCTGGGTCCTCGACATTGTCAATATAATCTTTACTGAAGAATTTGCTGCCGGGAGCTCGCTGAGCCTGGGCCCGCCGAGCCTTCTTGTTTTTCCGGGGCATGTTTAGACGGGAGATTGGCGCACGAACATATTGTTTTTTTTGTGAAAAATTGGGACTGCTTACATAATCTACGCCAATTTTTTTTATTGCAGATTCATGATCTTTTGACCCAGTTGCACGCCAAAAATGTCAAAATTTTCCTTATCACACCACAATCGAGTTTGCAACAGAGAGGCCTATGCTATCTGTTTTGCACTGTATTTCATGTGCAGATTTTCAATATGGACCCCGGTTCAATCGGACATAGAAAGAGCTATGCATCAACTTTTGGCAGAAATCCGGCCCTAAACGCGTTTGTCATATCTTCGCACGGTTCTCGCATATCGTTACATAAATTACTATGTCTATGTCCCCTTATATATATCAAAGTCCTCGGATCTTTATCCCTGTTGTTATCTTTTATGTGTTGCCTCGAACTGTCGCCGATCGTAACGGGACAGCTGTGGAGTCCACTCTTGGGCCGGTTCGTGTTCCTACCGTCGATGATTTGGTACAATTCATGGCAGACCTTTCGACCCGTCTATCTGACGTCGAGCTCGGCCGTGATTGGTTAGCATTTGTGAACCCGAAGTTCGATGGGTAAGACCATCGGAAACGGACGTAGCTCGACTTATCTGGCGGTCATAGTTGGAATTTTCAGCCTGGCGGTACGTGTATTTTCGATCTCGGTCCTACCAAGAAATGGATTGAGAGCTGCGCACCTGATCATATTGATGTTTCCGTGATTCAAATACTTGAGTGTCACTTGTATTTGTAGCACTCGCGACTTGTCTGAGTTAGTATTGATAACAGCATAGCCTTGTAGCATGATATGCTTTTGTTTTTCCGGTATATAATGGGACAGGCCGCAGCAGGCTCTGCCGTGAGCGGCCTTTCTCGAATGTCAGTCTCCCACTAATCAACTGTCACTGAGGGCTTATCGAGCCACAGTTCCCCAGATACAATGTCTAACCCGAAATTTAGGATCGCTATCTGGTAAGTAAGGTGTCTGTCTGGCCCTAGTCAAGTTCATTACAATACTATTCTAGCGGAGGAGGGGTAGGTGGTTTGACTTTAGCTGTTGCTTTATCCCGGCATCAGGATATTACAGTCGACGTATATGAAGCCGCCCGGAGCTTTTGTGAGATTGGGGCTGGTGTTGGTGTCTGGCCTAGGGCATTCAGGGTACGGATCTCAGAAAATCAAAGGCACGCTAGCCCCAGACAATCATCCAGGTCCTGCGAAAATTTGGACCCGACTTCGAACAGCAACTGCTTGAACGCTGCGGTTACGAATACACAGAAGAATATGGTCAGTGGAAATCGTATACGATAAATGTCCAAATCCGCTGAGAGAATTCTAGTCGCAGCTGTTAGGAGCCGTAAAAGCGATCAACCCATTGGCATTGAGCTGTTCGACTTGATGACGAAAGGTCAACTTTCCTCTGCATTCAGATGCATCTCAGACTGAACACCGCTGGTGGGACAGGCAAACTTATGCGTTTCCATCGAGCCGACTTCCATGGAGTACTACTCTCATTTCTTCCACCGTCCTGCACGACGCACAATGCCAAGCGATTAACATCATATACCCAGCCCTTGGAAGACTGTTCAGGAAATTCACCAATTACGCTAACATTCAAGGATGGATCGACTGCAACATGCGATGTTTTGATTGGTGCTGACGGGATCAAATCTACAGTCCGACCTTG